TCCTGGAGTCAGAGCCGCTGCTGCCGCCACTGCTACATCCGGGACGCCATGCGCACACTCCCCCATGTGATTCCCCTCCTCTCCCTTTCCCTTCCCCTCTCCTTCTCCAGAGCCAGGCATCTCCCCCCCCACTCTAACCTTATGCCCAGGTCCCAGAGCCCTCGCCGCTGCCTGCGCTCAGCAGCTGGCTGCTAGCACGTGCAGGCTGGGAGACACTGTGTGCGATCCGGCCTGTACGTGCAGGATATGACGTAGTGTGCTGGGGGCCATGAGTGGAAAGGAGCAGGCCACAAGCACGCATGCGGCTCACAGCGGCCCTCTCGTGAGGCTAGCTGACCTGATCTCCACAATTGTTTTGTTGTTTGTGAGCTGGACTCTGTGTGTGTGACCTTGGGCAAGTCATGGCATATTCCATTGCCTAGTTCCCTGCCTATAATAAATGAGGATAATACCATCCTGCCTCCCAGGCGTGCTATAACATGCTCAGACATAATGGTGATGTGTCAGATAAGAAGGTCAATTGGAAGAACCATTTATGTCTTTAGCCATACAGTTTATAACAGGGGTGGATCATGGGCTGGCGCTGGGCTCCATGGATGGGCGGGGCCTCGGGCAAAAGGGGTGGGTATGGGGGCTACAGAGAGATATAAAGAAACTGTGCGAGTGTACAAGAGAGACACTTTGTGAGAGACAGACTTTGTGACACAGAGTCAGTGTGTGCAGAAGTGTGTGTGTGACAGGGACTGTATGTATGGTGCAGAGACAGTGTGGCACAGACTGGGGGTGTGTGACAGTGACACAGCGTGTGTGTGCTGGCTACTGCTGGGTAAGTTTCTGAGAGGAAGCCACGCTCTGTGTCTCTAAGGGAAATCTGTTCCGTTCTGTTGTCTCCCTCCTACCCCTCTCTGCCCTTCTCTGAGTCACTTGCCATCCACACTTCAGAGAGAAGCAGCTTTGCTGTGTGTCTCCCTCTCCCTGACCTGTGGAATCTGTGGAACTCCTTGCCTGAGGAGGTTGTGAAGGCTAGGACTATAACAAGGTTTAAAAGAGAACTAGATAAATTCATGGAGGTTAAGTCCACTAATGGCTCTTAGCCCATATGGGTAAGGAATGGAATCCCTGGCCTCTTTTTGTCAGAGGATGAAGATGAATGGCAGGAGAGAGATCGCTTGATCATTATCTGTTTGATTCACTCTCTCTGGGGCACCTGGCACTGGCCACTGTCGGCAGACAGGATACTGGGCTGGATGGACCTTTGGTCTGACCCAGTGTGGCCATTCTTACGTTCTCTGCAGAGATGAGGTACAGGGGCAAAGGAACATCCTAACTTCAGCACTTCTCTCTTCCCTCCATCTTTCCCTCTCCTCCCCACCAAAAACACGCTTCCAGCTGTAAGTATGTGCACTCTGCTAATCAGCTGGGTGGGCCAGAGAAAAATGCTTGCTGGGCCAGATCCAGCCCCCAGGTCTGATTTTGCCCACCCCTGGTTTATAAATACTTTGCTTGCTCTATTATGGGCCAAAAAGCAAGTATGATGGGGCTCCTCTCATCCCCAAACCTAGTATGCCTTAACAAGAGATGTGGTGCATGTTGGGGTCACTGGGCATGATCCTAGGTAACTCGGGGGAGTGGAAGATCACAAGGATCGATGAAGCGCCCCCGCTCTAGGCCCAAGCACCCTAAAAGCCCCCTTCCCCCCCCTTCCACCCTTTTCTCCCCCAGGCATAACTTTTCTCTAGCTCGCTAACAGCTGGGAACAGCAAGACCTTGAGGTTGCCTAGTTACTATCAGTGGTATAGAAGAAGAATTCAGATGTGTTTCTGTAGAGGGGAGGAGGAGGAGGAGGATGTCCCAGCGTGGGAACCTTGCTACAGTTCACTATTTTCCTTCAAGTAAACAACCTGGGTATATAAGGAGGGAAAGCTGCTTATGTTGGTGTGCTTGATCTGAGATGTCTAGTCTCCTGGCACCTATTTGAGCATTCAAATAAACTTTTTTTGCTTCTCCACACCGGTGTGTTTATTGGAGCATGCATACCGGGCAACGAACCCAGCTGTTGCTCCCTCGGGCACCCTGTGTTGGCAACAATCTCTCAAAGATATTGCCATATCTGTTGTATTCACATGGGGGCCTGAAACATAAGCCCATGTATCACAAGCCTGGTGTGAGGCCTGAGGCCTAGCCAACAATGGTCGAGATTTTGCTAATATAAACCAACATTAAGCTGTGAGCAAGACGCCAGGCCTGCTCAGAGAACTTGGCATGAACAGGGCTGATGGTGCAGAAATATTAACTGGTATTAGGCACAGGCTGCACACACATTCCAGAGGGATGGTAACAACTAGGGATGTGAATGGGTAACCACTTAACTAGTTACTTGGTAAGCATCATCCTTACTGGGTGGCAGCTGGGGCGGGGAGCAGGCAGCCAGCCCCACGCAACTGACTGTTGGGGCCAAGACCTGGAGCCCTGTGGGCTGGGGGCTGCTCCAGCTGGGTCCACCTAATGTTTAACTGATTAATTGGGATTTTACGTCCCTGTAACAACATCTCGTTAAAAAGCATATTGGTACCAACACACTCCCCACAGATAACAGGGACATACCGACCTAGGTTCTGGACACAGTCTAAAATGATAGCATGATGAATCAAGATGTTTTGACTGAAATACCAGGGGCAAGACAATGAGTGGTATTTAGGTAAGGTGAGAGGGTGGCAACCTGATATGCCAGGAAGTGTTCCCTGTAACAGAATCCAGGAGAGATTCAAATACTGTCCTACTGAGTGGCAGAATGTCCACAGCACCCACATCTAGCAGCATGTGTTTCTATTGGTGATGCACATCTGCACGTGCCTCAGTGCACATAACATTTATTCTGCACACGGATGGAAAAATTAGAGGGAACACTGATCAGGAGTGATGTGTAACCTTTTGGACCTCGCTCAATCAGTGGGATGTTCCACTGTCCCCCGAGACCATTGTAACGAGCGTACATGTGTTAGCCTAACTGTAGACATCTCATCCAGGGAAATTAGGGCTGTGCTTGGTTTGTAATAATCTGGCCTGGTGCCTTTGATCTTTCTCTGATTTTGTGGTCTGTTGGGACTCTGTTGGAGTCTATTGTTCTGGCTACCTGTGCAGGGCCAGGGAAACATATGGAGGAGCACACGCACACAGCCAAACGGTTATCATCATTGGACAAAGCAAGACACTTCTCAGGATGTCTGACCCACATGGAACAAATGCTCCCTGCAGGTGCAGAGCTGGTGCTGCCTGCCCTGTGGGCATGTAGGGTTGTCAGATGTTTTCACAAAAAATACCGAACACCCCTCTCCCCCCCAAAAAAAACACCGGGAAAAAAATCTGTTGAGAAAAAAGAAGGGGGAGACCAAAGTTGTTGAGAAATTAAAAACAAAAAAAAAGGCGCTGCACCTTTAAATGGCCCCACACGCCTCCCCCCCCCGCCTATGTCCCTGCAAAGGCCCCTGCACCTTATGGCAAAGGCCCCGCCCCTTCCATCTGCAAGCCCATCCCCCTCCTTCCCAGAGCCCCGCGCCATTCCGCAGCTCCTCTCTCCCGCTGCCTCAGGCCCCGCCCTCCGAGCGTCCATGGAACCGCAGCAACGCTTTTGCGAATGACCCCTCTCCTCTGCCGTAGGGAGGAAACGGCCTCTCCTCCTCGTGCGATGGGGGGAGGTTCTGCGCTC